GAGGGAGGGAGTCAGGGAGGGAGGGGTGGAGAGGGGTGGTAGAGTCGGGAGGGGGAGTCGGGAGGGAGGGAGTCAGGGAGGGAGGGAGTCAGGGAGGGAGGGAGTCAGGGAGGGGGGGGAGTAGGGAGGGGAGGGAGTCAGGGAGGGAGGGAGTCAGGGAGGAGGGGTCAGGGGGGGGTCAGGGAGGGAGGGATCAGGGAGGGAGGAGTCAGGGAAGAAGGGGGTCAGGGAGGGGGATTCAGGGAGGGAGGGGGGAGTCAGGAGGGAGGGGGGGGGAGGGAGAGTCAGTGGGAGGGAGACAAGAAGGGAGGGAGTCAGGGAGGGAGGGAGTAGGGGGGGGGAAAGGGAATCAGGGAGGGGGGGAAAGTCAGGGAGGGGGGAGTCAGGGAGGGAGGGAGTCAGGGAGGGAGAGTCAGGGGAAGGACCAAGAGGGAGGGATCGGGAGGGAGGGAGTCAGGGAGGGAGGGGTCAGGAGGGAGGGAGTCAGGGTGGGGGGAGTCGGGGAGGGAGGAGTCAGGGAAGGAGGGATTTCAGGGAGGGGGGGAGTCAGGGAGGGAGGGAGTCAGGGAGAGAGGGAGAAAGGGATTCAGGAGGGAAAGGGATTCAGGGAGGAGGGATTCAGGGAGGAGGGATTCAGGGAGGGAGTCAGGGAGGGGGGGAGTCAGGGAGGGAGGGGAGTCAGGGAGAGAGGGAGCCAGGGGGGAGAGGGAGTCAGGGAGAGAGGGAGTCAGGAAGGGGGGGAGTCAGGGAGGAGGGAGTCGGGAGGAGGGAGTCAGGGATTAGGGAGGGAGGGATTCAGGGAGGGAGGGAGTCAGGAAGGGAGGGAGTTCAGGAAGGGAGGGAGTCAGGGAGGGAGAGAGTCAGGGAGGGAGGGAGTCAGGGAGGGAGGGAGTCAGGGAGGGAGGGATCAGGGGGGGAGGGAATCAGGGAGGGAGGGAGTCAGGGAGAGAGGGAGAGGAAGGGATTCAGGGAGGGAGGGATTCAGGGAGGGAGGGATTCAGGGAGGGAGGGATTCAGGGAGGGAGTCAGGGAGGGAGGAGTCAGGGAGGGAAGAGAGTCAGGAGAGAGGGAGCAGGGAGAGAGGGAGCCCAGGGAGAGAGGGAGTCAGGAAGGGAGGGAGTCAGGGAGTTAGGGAGGGAGGGATTCAGGGAGGGAGGGAGTCAGGAAGGGAGGGAGTCAGGAAGGGGGGGAGTCAGGGAGGGAGAGAGTCAGGGAGGGAGGGAGTCAGGGAGGGAGGGTGCGGGAGGGAGGGAGTCAGGGAGGGGGAATCAGGGGGGGGGAGTCAGGAAGGGAGGGAGTCAGGAGGATGAGAGTGGGAGAAGATGGGATAAAGGGAAAAGAGAAGGAGGGAGAGGAGGCAGGTTTAAGATGGAAGAAAAATAAAGGAAGTATTATCAGAAAATTAGAGAGGGGGTCAGTGCCCCCTTTCTTTTTCCCCTGAGCCTTCCTGTTGGCTGATCTAATCAGTCTGTTGGTTCTAGCATCAGACATACCATGGTAACCATCACACCCTGGTTGATCACGCCTAGTTAAAACAGGTGTGTCAAACATTACTGACACCAGTTGAGGTTGGCACCCCCTTTGGGCACCCATTGTCACCAATCATTGACACCTGTGTGAGGGTTTGGCACTCACCTTGGCACCATGGCACCCATCACTGATACCTGTGTGATGGTTGGCACTCCCCTTTGGGCTCAGGGCCCACCCATCACTGATCCTGTGTGATGGTTGGCATCACCTTGGCACTCATGGCACCCATCACTAAATCCCCTTGTGTGATGGTTGGCACTCACCTTGGCACTCATGTCACCCATCATTGACACCTGTGTGATGGTTGGCACTCACCTTGGCATCATGGCACCCATCACTGTTACCTGTGTGATGGTTGGCACTCAGCCTTGGCACTCATGGCACCCATCATGATCCCTGTGTGATGGTTGGCACTCACCTTGGACTCATGGCACCCATCACTAATACCTGTGTGATGGTTGGCACTCACCTTGGAAATTCATGGCACCATCACTGATACCTGTGTGGATGGTTGGCACTCACCTTGGCACTCATGGCCCCATTCACTGAAAACCTGTTTTGATGGTTGGCACCACTTGGCATTAATGGCACCCATCATTTTTGAGAAAATTTTTAAGGCCTTGAAGAAATTTTCATAAATTAATGTCAGACTTAATAGGTAATTATGTTCAGGTAATTATGTGTCCAGTAAAAACCCAAAGGTAATTATGTGTCCAGTAATAACCAGGTAATTATGTTTCCATAATAACCAGGTAATTATGTGTCCAGTAAAACCGGGGTAATTAGTGTCCAGTAATAACCGGGTAATTATGTTCCGTAAAAACCAGGTAATTATGTGTCCAGTAATAACCAGGTAATTATTGTGCCCAGAAAACCAGGTATTATGTTCCAGTAATAACCAGGTAATTATGTGTCCAGTAATAACCAGGAAATTTATGTGTCCAGTAATAACCAGGTAATTATGTATCCAGTAATAACCAGGTAATTATGTTCCAGTAATAACCAGGGTAATTATGTGTCCAGTAATAACCAGGTAATTATGTTCCAGTAATAACCAGGTAATTATGTGTCCAGTAATAACCAGGTAATTATGTGTCCAGTAATAATCAGGTAATTATGTGTCCAGTAATAACCAGGTAATTATGTATCCAGTAATAACCAGGTAATTATGTGCCCAGTAATAACCAGGTAATTATGTGCCCAGTAATAACCAGTATTATGTGCCCAGTAATAACCAGGTAATTATGTGCCCAGTAATAACCAGGAAATTATGTGTCCAGTAATAACCAGGTAATTATGTGCCCAGTAATAACCAGGTAATTATGTGCCCAGTAATAACCAGGTAATTATGTGCCCAGTAATAACCAGGTAATTATGTGTCCAGTAAAAAACAGGTAATTATTTTGCCCAGTAATAACCAGGTAATTATGTGTCCAGTAATAACCAGGTAATTATGTGTCCAGTAATAACCAGGTAATTATGTGCCCAGTAATAACCAGGTAATTATGTGTCCAGTAATAACCAGGTAATTATGTGTCCAGTAAAAACCAGGTAATTATGTGCCCAGTAATAACCAGGTAATTATGTGTCCAGTAATAACCAGGTAATTATGTGCCCAGTAATAACCAGGTAATTATGTGTCCAGTAATAACCAGGTAATTATGTGCCCAGTAATAACCAGGTAATTATGTGTCCAGTAATAACCAGGTAATTATGTGCCCAGTAATAACCAGGTAACTACACTCACACAGCAGTTAACAACACCAGGTCAGTAACACCCGGGAAATACAGCGGCTTAATAACACCTATTGAATTATTGAATTATATTTCGTCTGGCAACAAAAATCAATAAGATTTGACTCTAGGAAGAGGAGAGTAGAATGAATTCCTTGAATCAAGAGCCTTTCAAGGGCATCAAGGCGCCTCTCAAGGGCATCAAGGCGCCTCTCTCTCCCTCCTCATCCAGCGTCAAATTTTGCCGAATTATAATTATTTTAGAACGTCACACAGTTGACGTTACTGAGATCAAAGTCTTTTAATTTACTGTCGAGTTCAAGGTTTGTTAAGTAATAATTTAAATTTTTAGTTCATTTACTGTAAATTGATTTAAATAATAATGATATTAATAATAATAATAATAATAATAATATAATAATAATAATAATAATAATAATAATAATATAATAATAATAATAATAATTATACCAAAAATTAGTGTATAATAATAATAACTAGTGTAATATATATATATTTTATATATATATATATATTATATATATATATATATATATATATATATATAAAATATATATATATATATATATATATATATATTATATAATATTATATTATATATATATATATATATATATATATATATATGGAGAGAGAGACACACAGAGCAGTGTTACAGTTGAGGCTCCACAGCCAATTAGAGGCTGGATCCCACCACCGCCGCTGGAATAGAGAATCTGATCCTCCTCTCATGACAGTCATTTGTTTTGGGTGAGGTATTAGAAGCTCCTCGGGTGCTAGACTCTTTCCTGGGTCATGTGGTGACGTAACGAGGTGGTTAACGTCTCGCTTCCATCATTCCATCATGACGTCAGGGACCTGTGATGACGTCAGTGGCACTAATATTACTTCAGTTGTTTTTATTTGAACGAGGGAATTGTTACCACCACTACTACTAGTCTACTACTAGTAGTAGTATTAGTACAACTACTGTTACCACCAAAATTACTACCATCGACACCACTACTACTATTAGTAAGGTGTATATATCCTGTGTAAGGTTTATAATACTCTTAGTGTGCATGTTTATATGTATTATATCGTGACATTCATCTTGCTATATATATTATATATATATATATATATATTATATATATATATATATATATATATATATATATATATTATATATATTATATATATATATATACATATATATATTTATATTATATATTATATATATCCCGGTATTTATGCTCTTCCATGGCCCACTTTACACCCTCTCTCTCTCTCTCTCTCTCACTGATATTCTGAAGCACTGAAGGAGTTATTGATCGAGTGTCAGCCAGACGACAATGGAGGCTCCCAGATGCCTTCAGTAATACACCCCAACACATCATTTTATCCGCCTAAATTGCCATGTTATAAAAAAATTAAAAACACGTCGTGAATTAAGTCAGTCTGGGTTAAGATTCCTTGTTGGGGTAAACAAAACTGTGATCAGAGAATGACTTCAAGTTCTGTTTTCCTGACGACTTTGTTTTTTGTGACATTAATTATTCTGTGGTTATTAAGGGCACCATTGACTGCACGAGGCCCATTAATATCACATTCTGCTTATTGACAACCATTGATTTAATTTTTAAAATAGGAATTTATTAAGAACATTCATATAACAAGAATTTTTGTCTTTTTCATCTTTTTGTGTAGTCGAAATTACTTAAAGAGTGCTTTGTTTTCTCATTTTTTAAGAATTAATTTGATCTCTTAGTAGATATAGATACAATTCATAACATCCCGTGTTCATTATTTTCCAGAAAGACGTACTATAATAGAGCATCGGCAGAATGTACAGCAGCAACAGTAGCAGCAACAGTAGCATCCGCAGCAAGTCCCAGAGTCTTAACAACAGTGGTATCTCAAGCAAGACCAACAGTCCCGTCAACAGTGGTTTCTTAGGTAAAAGCATCAGTCCCATTGAGAGTGGAATCCCAAGTAAAAGCAACAGCCCCGTCAACAGTGGTAGTTCAAGCAGGAACAGCAGTCCCATCAGCACTAGCAGGAACAGTAGCCAAGAAACAGTAAGATACCTGGCAAAAACGACTCCAACAACAACATGAACAGCCCACAGCACCAGCAGCATCACCAGCTCCGTCATAGCCCACAGCACCAGCAGGAACAGGAGCACAAACAGGAGGACCAGGAGCTGTTGCTTCGCTCCGTCAAGCCTCCAGCTAGCGTGGTGAACAGCAGCCCCTACGACCACCAGCTACTGGAACGACTCGTCCCACGACATATCACTACTGAACATGTCGTTTTTAGCCACAAGTAAGAAGGGAGGAATTGGAGGGAGTCGTGGAACAGAAGGACGGGAGGGAAATAAAAGATTGGAAGGAGGAAGAGACGCAAGTAGGAAGAGAGGAAGAGATAGAAGCAGAAAGAGAGGAAGAGATGGAAGTAGGAAGAACTGGAGTACTGAAAAGACGTAGAAAAGGAAGCATAGAAATAGAACTGCAGAATGTCTTAGGAGATATTGATGAATGCAGAACGTATGTATGTATGTATGTATGTATGTATGTATGTATGTATGTATGTATGTATGTATGTATGTATGTATGTATGTATGTATGTATGTATATATGTATGTATGTATGTATGTAGGAACAGAAATTATGTGAGCGCATACAAGAAGGAAAAAACAGAAAAGAAAAGATGGAAATAAGGAAAATAAAGATGGAAAGCAGTAAGGAACGACAGGACGAGAGGGAATAGGAGATAATGAAAAAATTTGGAGGAAGGGAAGAAGGAAGGGAATGGAAAAAGTGGTTGTAATAATGACCTTCCTGCTCCGAGACTTCGCCTTAGACACAGGGGAATAGGTGAGAGGGCAGAGAAAATGAGAAAGAGAAGGATGAGGATGGCTGGGAGAAGAATGGTGATAAATAGAACGAAGATGAAAGGAGGAGGAGGGGAAGGAAGGGGCGGGTGGGTGAAAGATTAAGAGAATCCAAGACATCAGTTATTTTACAAACGAGTCAATGACTGGGAGAAAAATACTTATTAAACAAATTATCTAAAACACGTAGTGTGACAGAGGTCACCATCACTAGCATATACCATTTCCATTGCTATTACTACTACTGCTGCTGCTATTACTGCTATTTATATTATTTTTAAATTAATATTTTAATGTTTAATTATTGTGTTATTATTAATAAAGAAACGTTGACCCTTCAGGAGCAAAGTTGGGGGTCGGTCACTATACTTCTTCAGTCCGGCGTGCAGAGGTGGTGTCACCAAACCTGTCTTCACTACCAGAGAGAAACTCACACCTATCCTGGACGGTCCTGTGGTCAGTATCAAGGCTAGGCTGCGTCGCCAACAAGCTAGTTGGTCACAGACTAGGCCGTGATTAGTGGACGTAGGTTCGAGCATGTACAAGTCTTTGTGCTGAGTGATCCACACGGTTTTAGTGCTAAATATAATAATTCTTATTTTGCTACCCAGCCTACATCTTGTAGATCACTATTTGCATATATCTATCTATTTATATATATATAAATATATATATATATATATATATATATATATAAAATATATATATATATATATATATATATTATATATATATATGTATATATATAAAGTCGTGCCGAATAGGTAAAATTGGTCAGTCACTAAAAAATCATTTGAAATTAAAAAAAATTTCTTATACAATAAAAGATATATTTTTTCATTGGTGTTAATATAAAAATTAATGATCTTGTACCAAAAGAACCTTAGAAAACTTACCTAACCTTATTATAACAAGCACAATTTAATTTAGCTTAATCCAACAAAATATGTTTTATATAAGTTTACAATAATTTAATAATAAACAAACACAATGAAATATATGTTATTTCGTTAGATTCAGAATGATTTTTCCGAAATTATTGCATACACAAATTTTCGCTTGCCTTATTCGGCAAGAAGAGCGCTGCTATTTAATCCAGAATCGCAAGTTTTACCTTTTCGGCACGACACACACACACACACACACACACACACACACACACACACACACACACACAAAACACACACACACACACACAATGTGGTACCAATCTTTAAAAAAGGAGACAGACATGAAGCACTAAACTACAGACCAGTGTCACTGACATGTATAGCATGCAAAATCATGGAAAAGATTGTCAGGAGAAGAATGGTGGAACATCTAGAAAGGAATGATCTCATCACCAGCAGCCAACATGGTTTCAGAGGGCGGGAAATCCTGTTGTCCACAAACCTACTGGAGTTCTATGACATGGTGACAGCAGTAAGACAAGAGAGAGAGGGGTGGGTGGATTGCATTTTCTTAGACTGCAAGAAGGCGTTTGACACAGTACCACACAAGAGATTAGTGCAAAAACTGGAGGACCAAGCAGGAATAACAGGGAAGGCACTGCAATGGATCAGGAATACTTGTCAGGAAGACAGCAGAGAGTAATGGTACGAGGCGAGGTGTCAGAGTGGGCACCTGTGACCAGCGGGTCCCACAGGGGGCAGTCCTAGGACCAGTGCTATTTCTGGTATTTGTGAACGACATGGCGGAAGGAATAAACTCCGAGGTGTCACTGTTTGCAGATGACGTAAAGTTGATGAGAAGAGTTCATTCGATCGAAGACCAGGCAGAACTACAAAGGGATCTGGACAGGCTGCAGACCTGGTCCAGCAACTGGCTCCTGGAGTTCAATCCCACCAAGTGCAAAGTCATGAGGATTGGGGAAGGGCAAAGAAGACCGCAGATGGAGTACAGTCTAGGGGGTCAGAGACTACAAACATCACTCAAGGAAAAAGATCTTGGGGTGAGTATAACACCAGGCACATCTCCTGAAGCGCACATCAACCCAAAAAACTGCTGCAGCATATGGGCGCCTGGCAAACCTCAGAACAGCATTCCGACATCTTAATAAGGAATCGTTCAGGACCCTGTACACCGTGTACGTTAGGCCCATATTGGAGTATGCGGCACCAGTTTGGAACCCACACCTAGCCAAGCACGTAAAGAAACTAGAGAAAGTGCAAAGGTTTGCAACAAGACTAGTCCCAGAGGTAAGAGGTATGTCCTACGAGGAGAGGTTAAGGGAAATCAACCTGACGACACTGGAGGACAGGAGAGATAGGGGGGACATGATAACGACATACAAAGTACTGAGAGGAATTGACAAGGTGGACAAAGACAGGATGTTCCAGAGATTGGACACAACAACAAGGGGTCACAGTTGGAAGTTGAAGACACAGATGAATCACAAGGATGTTAGGAAGTATTTCTTCAGCCACAGAGTAGTCAGTAAGTGGAATAGTTTGGGAAGCGATGTAGTGGAGGCAGGATCCATACATAGCTTTAAGCAGAGGTATGATAAAGCTCATGGTTCAGGGAGATTGACCTAGTACCGACCAGTGAAGAGGCAGGGCCAGGAGCTTGGACTCGTCCCCTGCAACCTCAACTAGGTGAGTACACACACACAACACACATACATAACACACACAATATATATTATATATATATATATATATATATATATATATATATATATATATATAATATTATAGGGAGGTACAACCTCTGGAACTGTCATGGGGACCCTCATCCTCAGAGAAAAGAATAAACTTGCTTCAGGGGAAACTGAAAGTTCTCCCTGAATCTGTTTGACAATTTTCTCCTACAACCCCCTATATTTAATATATATTTTATTTAAAGACAAAACACATTGACAAAACATTCACAAAAATACAATAAAAAGTAAAACAACATAGATAACAACTCAGAGCTACAGCTCGAATACTTTGTCCAGCTCCCCGGCGGTGGGCCGCGTGCCCAGAATGCTACAGGCATTTCCTCTCTGGATAGCAACACTGAGTCTCTGAAAGAAGCTGGTCGCTCTGTGGTCCTTGGTTTCTATGATGAGCTTTTCACCCCAGCTCTTATATATAATATATATATATATATATATATATATATATATATATATATATATATATATATATATATATATATATATATATATATACATATATTCGAACTTCATGGTCTCGTATGTCACACATCAGAAGGGAAGTATGCCAGACATGGGGAAGTCAACGACATCATAAAGAGAAGCCTCGCCACAGCCCGTTGCCCAGCTCAACGGGAACCCCAAGTGCAGAGGTCTGACGGAAGTCAAAAGCGTCCTGATGGAGCCACTATGCTACCCTGGAAGGATGGAAAGTAGAATGCCTGGGACTACAGCTGTGCCGCCACATTAATAGACACCTACTTGCCATACTCCATAATTGAAGGGGGTGGAGCTGCCAGCTGCAGGGAGACCCAGAAGATCCGCAAATATGAAGACCTTCCCCCTTGCTATATCTTCATCCCAATAGAATCGGAGACCCTTGGAGCATGGGGCAAGTGTGTTCTAAAGTTCCTCAAAGAGGAAAAACTCACCATAGATACCAAGGACCACAGGGCAGCCAGCTTCCTCTTTCAGAGACTCAGTGTTACGATCCAGAGGGGAAATGCCTGCAGCATTCTGGGCACGCTGTCCACCGCTGGGGAGCTGGACGAAGTATTTGAGATGTAACTTTGAGTTGTTATCTATGTTGTTTTACTTTTACTTTTATTTTTGTCACGTATTTATCTTTAAAAAAAAATAAAAAATTTAAAAATTTTTAATTTTAAAATTATAATTTTAAAAAAAAAAAAGGGGGTAAAATTTTGGCCTGCAGGGGAACCCAGAAAAAAAAAATTCCAAAATAAGTTCCCCCCTTTGAAAATTTTTTCTTAAAAACCCCCAATTTTTAAATTTTAAAAAAAAAGCAAAACAATTGCAAAATTCCTCAAAAAAAAAAAAAACATAGAAAACCAAACCGGGGGCCCGCCCCTTTTTTCCAGCCCCCCGGGGGTCCGGGAAATGCTCGGGTTTTCCTTTTGGGCACCGGGTCCAAACCGCTTGGGGCTTGGTTTTAGATAAAATTTTAAAGTTTATTATTTTTTTTTAAAATTTTTATTATTTTTAAGTATTTATTTTATAAAAATTATTAATATTTTAAAAAAAATTTTCAAAACAGGGAGAATAAAGTTCCCGGGGAAGCAAGACTCTAAAGAAAAGGCCCCCCAGGGCCCAGTCAAGGGAACCCAACTTTGAAATAAAATTATAATTTTATAAATTTAAATAATTATTAAATTAAATTAATAAAAAAATTTTTATAAAATTTAAATTAGTCGTGCGGGGGGGCCCAAAGGCCCCTTGGACCTTCCCCTTTTTTTCTTCCCCCCTTTGGAATGGAAACCCGGGGGGGGGAAATTGTGTTTAAAAATTCCCAAAAAAAAATCACCTGAACCAAGGACAAAATTTTTTCAGGTTGTTTAGATAAGGGGAAAAACCTAATTTATTTTGTGGGGGTAAATAATTGGTGTAATTTTGGTTTTTTTCTAGTTTTTTCTTTTTACTTTTTTTTTAACTTTTTTACTTAAATAAAAATAAAATTAAATTATAAGGGGGGGGGAAAAAATTTTAAAGGGAAAACCTTTTTTTTAAAATTTTGATTTTTTCAAAAATGACCCCGGGGTTTAGATTGGACCCCATATATATTATATATATATATAATATATATTAATATATATATTATATATATAATATATATATTTATATATATTTAAAATATTTTTTAAAAAAATAAAAATATTTTAATAAAATTTTTTTTTAAAATACAACGCATCCCCAAGGAAAGGGGAAAAAGAAAAATTTTCCCCAAAATCTTCACCCCCCCAAAAAAAATTTTCATTTTTGGGTTTTTAAATTTTGAAAAAAAATTAAAAAATTTTTATTTGGGATTTAAAAAAATTCCTTTTAAAAGGGTTGGTGTTTCTAACCTTTTTCCCAAAATTTAAAAATTTTTTACATCCAAAAAAAAAATTTCAAAGTATAAAAAAATTTTTAAAACTTTTTTAAAAGGCCCCGAAAATGCCTTTTTTCAATTTCGCCACACTTTAATTTAATTTTAATTAATTTTATAATTTTTAATTTAATATTTTTTATTTAAAATTTTTTTAAAATTAAAATTTTAATTTTTTAAATTTTTTTTTTAACCCCAAACTCCTTCCCCCAAAAGGGTCCGGAAAAAAAATTTCCCACATATTCACTCCCACTTCTTGCCAAATCTTTACACTACATTTTTAACTGAAAAAACCCCCTCCTCAACACCCCTTCTTCCCCTCCAGGCCCAAGTCCCTTTTCCCAACCCCCCTTAAAATGACCTAAACCCTCCATCCATCAGTTTCCCTTTTGTTCCCATTCACCCCTTCAAACCCTCCCTGCCCCCAAAAGCCCCTTTCCCAAAACCCCCTTTCCCCCTTCCCCCCAACCTTTTCCTCCCCCCCCCCC